TGAACAGTGACTAATTCTCGTCATGGTTGTCTAACTCAGCAAGATGAAAAGATGGACAGGCACATGGGTATACAGAAGAATGAATAATAGGAGAAAAGTACATTTTTTATCAATAAAAGGATTTTTCATTAAGAACAAGAAAATATTACAGATTATGAGTAGCCTAGGATACCTCAATAGAATTTAAAAATGCCAACTACAACTTTGGCTTTTCAGCCTTACAACTGAGCCCAGAAACAATGTTCCCTGTTAGCCCCCTTGTTTAGCTAGCTGGTCAGAAAATACATGACTGAACCAAGAATGGGAAATCAGCCTTTACCAATAATATTTATACCCATCATCATCATCTAATCTTTATCCCGACTATATGGAGTCAGCTACGTTAATCCTGTTTTGCCATTCTGTTCTGTTTAGTGTACCAATAATATTTATATTACAAACATTAAAAAATCAAATATACTCCTAAGGGTGTAGGATTACAAAATCCACAGGATCTGTGTTCAAAAAATCAAATAGCAAGACTTTGCTTGCTAACTTGCTATGCAATATCACCAACTCACCGGTTAGTGATAATGTAGGCAGTACAGTTGAGATCTACAGAACTATCTTGTCTAGCTTCTGTAATCGCTGTCTCTCTCTATGAAAATTATCTGTCTCTCATCAAGAAAGAAGAGAGAGAGAGATGAAATAATAAGGATCACCTAGTTGGTAAGATCTAGGGTGCAATTTGTGTGGGTCCAACCTGAGCCTGGACCAACCCAGGCTGCAATTTAATACAGGCCGGGCTTGGATTTTTGGTCCTTGGGCTGGGCCTGGGCCCAAAAGTTTGGGCTTTTTTATTTTTCAGGTTGAGCTCAGGCCTAGCCCAACCTTATATCCAAACCCAAGCCCAGCCCAACTATATATATGTATATATATGCATACATATAGATACATATTTGCATGCATACATGCATATATGCAATACTTTTATTTTGGTAAACCACACATATATGCATACATGGATACATATACACATACTTTTTAAGTTTTTAAGTCAATTTTTAGTGTGGGCTGCTTGACTGGCCCAAGGCCCCAAGCCCAAGTCCAACCTCAGTGCATCAAATTTCAGTGCAGGATGGGCCTGGGTTGGATGGTTCGGGCTTGACCTTGGGCTTCTTAGGGGTTGGGCCTGGGTTGAGCTTAACCCAACCCATCTCAGCCCACCTGACTGCACCTCTACTAAGATCTCTAGGTGAAGGCCATGACAAATGTCATTAGTGACAGTTGGCAGGTCACAGGCTTTTTGCCTGGAAAGAATCATGTTCTTGCTGGTACACATGTTGTGTGTTTAAACATTTAAATTATAGTAAAATATTTGTTTAAATGCTTCAACTCATGTTTACATAGTATGGACTTCCAAATTTATAGAGATACCCATTATGAGCATCACAGTACCTAGCCACCACCTATTGATGCGGTAATAGAGAGACAGAATGACTTAGATTGGTGCACACTGCATGCAAATGAAGAAGATGCTACACTTGTCTGTGTGATTGTAACATCTTGCATTGCAAATACTTAAACAATGAGGGCATTCATGTCCAAACTAGTACCATATTTAAGTGATGAAAGGTAACAGGAGACACAGTGAGCCACAGTTAACAGATTTGTTGCATACTGTTTGATCCTCTAAAAACTCTATTTAGAAAAATGTAGAAATCTTTTAAGGATATTTAGCTCAATAGCATACGCCAATACAAGATGAGTTTAAGAGACAAGAAGGGTAAGAAGCAAAAGACTTCACTTCCTACTCATCATTCTATAAAGGAGAAGTTAAATTGGTTATTAACCCCAAATCCTCTTTTTTCTTTTTTTTTTCCCCAAATTTTAGCCAGTAACTTGATTGGAAAGCCTAAAATTGAACCAACAAACATTTGAGTTTGCACTATGAGCTAAAACACCAAGTGCTTAAGTTGTTGAACAGCGATATGAAGAGCATAAAGCCAAGCAATGAAGGCAAAAGAAAATATTTGTTATTTCTTAAAAATGTAAATGGTTGACGGAACAAGTTATTGCAAGTCCCACCCGATGCCATTTCCATAAACAGTAACCTTAGATTGACTTACCATAAATAGAAAGTCATCATAAATAAAAGAGAATGGAAATTTGACAGCATAAATCTAAATGTCATGTTTCTAGTCACATGGCATTCAGAGTCCTAAATTCAAATACATTCAAAATGCTTGCATATAAAATAATCAATTTCGGATACACACACATAGAGTTCCTGTGCACCATACAACAAATTTCAGTGAATTTCTATTTTTATTGGTAAAGTGAATTCTACATCTTCCAAAAACAATGGATTAAGGATGTTGAGCAGAAATTACCGTGCATCCCAAACGCCTTGGACAACCTTCAAAAAACATCAGGGTTTTGGCCAGTTTCTTGTTGGGATGACCAGGAACTTTGTTTTCTTCAGAAACTCTCTCTAAGCGGAAGATTTCACAGTGTCCCAATCGTGATGAAGAAAGATTATCAATAGATGGAACAATAGAAGCACCAGTACACCTAGCTATGCGCTCCAATAAGGGCCGCTTTACATTCAACACTAGAGAGATTTCCTTTGCCAATAGATACTCTTGAGCATAAGAAGATACAGATTTCTCTACCAGCAGAACATTCGGGCGATGGGCCTCTATCTTTGAAACAATCATCTTGAGATGATCCATCTCCTGTTAAAACTTGATAATTCAGCTCTTATACCATGTTATACCTAAACTTTACTAGGGAAAGCAAAAACAGAGAACGGGGTGGTTAACCTGTTCAAGTAGAGTATTAAATGATGACAACTGGTTTGGAACTCTCTGGAATTCAAGTGATCCCCCCAAGAGAAGTAATCTAGGATTCTTGTACTGTGACATCATGCGCTTGTGTTTTATATTTTTTGTACAAACTACTCCCTTAATAAGGGTGCTGAAAATTTAAAAAGAGAAAATAATAAAACCATTTTAGTTCCATAACAACAGAGGTTCATGGAAATAATAGCAACTATTGTAAATGAAACTTACAATATCTGAAGGCATACCTCTCACTTGGACTTCCCGACACTATACATTTAACCTTTACATAGTCACCAGGATCCATACTGCCTCCTCTGTTTGTATCTGGTTTCACAAAATTTGCTGCTTGCCATGCAATTGACGCAACTATATCCAGCCAATCCTCCACACCATTCTCATTCTCCACACAGATGCCCTCTCCCTGTAGTAGCTGTGACACAAGAGACCTAAAGTGCCCATGTATTACCGCTCTAAGAGGTTCTTTGTATTCCTCCTTTGGTTTCTCTCTGACCGGGAATGCATCATTACTAAAGCTACCAGATGAGAAAAACATGCCAGACCCTCCAACATCATCATCCTCATCATCATATTCAAAGAAATTGCTTTCTAACTCGTCCTCACCCTCCTCAGCTGGAGGAGGAAACCAAATGAGACCATTATTTTCAAAATCCAATGGCTGTTGTACTTTTTCACATTGTTCCCGGAATATTGACAAAGCATCAGAACAGTCATCAGGGTTCTCTAGATCCTCATTTTCTGTCTCAGGCCTTCTTAAAATCGCATTTTTTTCTTGGTATGGAGGAGTGTCATTCTGAGACCTTGGAGTTCCCCCTTGCTCCTTCTGTACAGAGTAGTGAGCTCTATTAGGAGTACTTGTTATCTTGTAAGAACTTTCCAAGGGACTTGAACCCACTGATTTAAAACTGTAAAAATCATGCCTAGAACTAACACTACTAGAATCTACATCAGATATGTCTTGATAGTATTCACTAGATGGACTCAAAAAGTGCTTCCCAGAATCCTCTGCATCTTCCTCATCACTCCTGCGTTGATGATGAAGTTTGAATGAATACTTGCATCAGAAGAGAAGGGGCAAAACATATAGAGAAGTGAGTTCTCAATTACTAGGTGAATTAAGAATAAGAATTCATGAACCACAAATATAGCCAGGTTAAAAGGATTCTGTCAGAGAATATGCAAAATGCATTCCTTCTCTCTAGTAGGGGATATTGCTTTGTGCAGTGGTAGAATTTTGGGCTGGAAAGCATGAGGACGTGGGTTTGAGTATGAGACCAAAAGTTTGGTCTCTATCCAGTCTACCACTCCCAAGACCCTGGATGCACATCCGGTAATGACCCTTTTTCATTATTTACCTTTACTCCCTAAACAAAAAACCATCACATGTGTGTTTAATATAATCAAGAAGAAATAAAATAACTACCTGCTGGGAGAGCAGTGAAAAGAAACTGGAGACAGGTGACCCATGGATGAGGGCATGCTGCTACTAGCAGTTGCATAGGGAGAAGCAGCATGTTCTTGTGATTCAAAGAAGTGCACGAGGTGATCACTGTGAAGTGGCCTACAATTATTATCATCACAAAACTTCCCATTACTGAAATGAGGAAGCATCCGTTCAGGACTCAGCTGAGGAGATCTAGAAGAAATAATTCTCTCATCGCGGTCTCTTCCAGCTTCATGCCCATGATTAGCCTGAAAGCAAAACTTGCAGTGTTTGACATGTTCAGCATCCTCAGTGGAGCTTCTCCAACGATCTGATATAGCACATGGACCTTCAATGCATTTCCCACATAGTACCCGTCCACAACCTTGGCAATGGTAATGAAAACTGAATTCTGTAAAGCGTTTTTCACACTCACAACACATACTGCAACTGTTATCAGTCATCCAGAATTCCTTTGAGAAACCAGATAAATCGTTTCCTCCCCAAGAGATCCAAGACCTAACCTTCTCTATTAAATCTATAAGTGAATTATCAGGTATTCCCATAGAAAGAAACCCGTTACAGATTCTTCTTCTTCTTCTAAAACGTATATTAACTTTTTTAGGGGGAAAAAGTATAAAAGAAGGAAAACGTATACAGTCTCCGGAAAATCTAAATTTCCTCAAAAAAAGTAGGAAAGAAAATCCGAAAGAGGGTGATATCTATAGAAACCCAGAATAAAAATGGTGGGTGTCTTCAAAGAAATAAGAGAAAGACAACACTTAAGCAGTGTGTGGTATCCAACAAGTAACAATTGATCGAACCCGCTAAATCCTTAATCTAAAAAGGGTCCAAAACCAATCCAAAGTATTTCTCAGAAACAAGGAAAAACAAAATCCCTCCAGAGAATCAGAAAAATAAAATCTCAAAGGAGGAAAAGCCAAACACCAAGTGGTTAAACGCATGAAACCCGTCGTAATATTTACATCAAATTGGAAAACATACCACAGGACCTCCAACAGCAACTACAGAGATCCCCAAAAAGACCTACCACAAGTCCACAAGGTCCACAACAACAGTTACAGCATCAAGCACGAACGCTATACATAACCCACTAACCAATCCCTAAATCGTCCAGAATGCATCCAAGTAACGACTCAAGCATTAGTAGAACAGGAAATGGGGAAAGAAAGAACGCCAGATCCCTAAATCAAAACAACCTGGAATCTACCACAACGGATTTCCATTTTCCAACCAAAGAAACGAAAAAGAAAAAAAAAAAAGAGTTGAACTCATCAAAATTCTCATAAACCAATAAATCAGAAATTCCTGCCCCTTCAGATTACCAATCAATACAGATCAATAACAATACTATGAGGTACAAAAAAGGACTTATCTGAGGTGGGTTTTCGTTAAATAACGTGAAGGATGAGAATTAACAGAAGAAAAAGAAGAAGTAAGGAAAAGGTCCCCTTTCTCTCGGTATCAGCTCGCATCTGAAACTGCACCAGCATACTCTGTTTTTCCATTTTTCCCGGCAAAGCTTTCATTCCACCTTCACCCTATTAAAATGTTGTCATTCTGATACTTGCTTGAAAAGAAAAACCCCCCTCCTCACCTTTCCCTTTTTTTCGATTCTCTCTCTTCCTTGGTGTAATGTTCAACATCCTCCTCAGCAATCAGTCAGCAGCTGTGCTTAAAGTGTGAGGAGGAATAATAAGGCAGGGAGAGAGAGAGAGAGAGAGNGGGGGGGGGTTTGGATAATTGGATTTAGTTTGGTGAGGGGCAACATCTGCCAAGGGTGGGTGGCTAGGTGCCGAAAGGGTAGGCTTTTTTTTCCTCACTTCCTTTTGATTCCATGATTCTTTTCTTTCTTTTATCCAACCTTGTTTTGGACTTTTTATCTGCTTGGCGTTTTCTCTGGTTTTGATTTCTGATTATTATAGCTCTCTTAGTCTGTTGTGTTGCGCATACCCACAACGATCTTCAAATACTCAAAAAAAAAAAGCGATCTTCAAATACTGTTCTTCTTTTGGCCCATTCGCAGTCATTCTGAGGAGATTGGAGTGGACTGAGCCGCCCACCCTCAAACGTTTCATCACCATTACTGAATTATGACCTGTGAGTCATCTCCACGCGAAGGAATTTTTAGCTTTTTGTTGGTTGTTCTATTTCTTATTTATAACAAACTATATTAATTATTCACACATAACAATATTAGTCGCTCTCATAACTTATAATTCATTGCTTTTTAATTTCTTCCTGGTTACAGCTTATAAATGCTTGAAAAATAAACTCAGAATTGGAAATTATGGGAAAATTTATATATACCAAATTTCTCTATCTGGCCACACGCCCAGGCCCACAGCAGCAATATGTAATTAATCATAGCATTTCAAAAGTGCTTTTCCACTGACAATTCTGACAATTAGTATTATTCTCAAATTAATTGAAAATGATTTAGGCGCCATAATTTAATGATGAATATGGCAGTGAAAATGGTTGAAGCAGAATTCATGTGACCGATCCCATGTTGCTTGGACAAGGTTTATGGTCTGTTTGGTTTACAGGAATAAGGCCTAAGGGTCTGGAGTCATAATCATCCATTCTGAATTTAATCGGTTCTGTTGGATGGAATGAAATTTCGATTCTCATTCTTTGTTGAATGGTATTCCCAATAATTTGAGGGAATGGCCATTCTAGCCTCCCTTTGGAAATGAATGATAATCTCATATCAGTCGAAAAAAAGGGAAAAAAAAAAGAAAGATAAGTGACTTTAAACCCCTGTCCCCCCAAACCCTATTTCTCTCTTCATATGAGCCAATCCTTGGGAGTTATACATATCTTAACGGAATTGATTCCAACTTCCATCTAAACCAAACAGGCAAAGGGAATAGGTGATTCTGATTCCAATTCTAGAGGATAGTGATTCCGATTTCAACTGAAAATTAAATAAACCCTTAGATGATGGGATGTTTGGTTCTGTTGGAGCTTATTGAAAAAGCGCCATCACATCAGTGCCACATAGGCATTTTGGCATTTATTGCATATGAAGCAAAATGAAACAATTGTTTGGTTTCATTGTTTATCAAATAAATGGTAGAAAACTGAAATGCTTTGATTTTTGTGCATGGGACATTTTGGGAAACGTCAAATTCTTATTTCCCCCAACACTCTAACATTTCTTGAAACCAAATGCTAATGTGACACACTTTAATGGATATTAATTTGAGGTAGAGAGTAAAAAATGTTTAAAATAAAGTTCAACCAAACAATAAAAATAGGAAACATTTAAGTAATAAGCGTTTAAAGTTAAAAAGTATAAATAAATATAAAGTGAAAAAGTGCAAATAAACGCCCAGTCCGTAAATGCCCATGAAACCAAACACATACTATGAAGAAAAAGGAGAAGAAAACAAAGACATGCAATTGTGTATATAAGTAGAATGGACGCTTTTTCATTATGCATATAATTATAAATGACAAATGCATTCATTTCAAATAATTCATTTATAGATCATAACTTCATTTCAATTAATGATATAATCTTGCATTCATAAATTAACCTCATTCAATGAAGTTTTGCCTTTCGGCTTTAAAAAATATCTTACATTTATAAAATAAACAAAAAAAAAATACCCTAAAGAGGTAAAGAGATAACATTTTTAAACTAATTACTTCATAACAATCTTCCCTTTCTTCTATTTAGTGTCAATATTTTTAAACTAATTTCTCCATGACAATCTTCCCTTTAATTTCTTCTTCTTGGTGTCAATATGGATACAAATGTATTGGATCGTATTCGAATTGGGATAATCTGAATCCAATTTGATTGGATTTCACAAAGACCACTTCAAATTCTAATCTATTAAGGATGTAGAATATTTGCATTTGATCTGATCGGATTTAATTTCTATAAAATTTGACAAATTATTAAAAAGAAAAAAATATAGCAATTTATATAAAGAAAACAAAAAATACAAGCATTTTTAATTATTTTATCATATATACATGCGTTTTTTATAAAAATAATAATAATAATATAAAAATTACAAAAATGCATTTGGATCAGATAGGGGGTGATCCAAATTCGATATGATCTGATCTAAAAATTTGACAGGGGGATATCCGAATCAGGCATTCTAATTCAAAATAGACCATGATTGGGTCCATTTGCACCCCTAATTAACTATTGAGCTTTAGACCTTTTCAATGCATTCATACCATTGTTGACGTCGGTGGTTGAACCAATAAGTTGATGACCTGATTTTTTTATGGATTTTTTTAGGGGATGGCATATCTAATATATAGATAGATAGATAGATAGATAGATAGATAGATAGATAGATTAAAGGAAGGTCTTCAAGCAACAACCTCCACCCTTCAGACACGTGGCATTGTAAAATTTCAATAGATAGAATCTTAAGAAAGGTTAAACTCTCACTCTTAAAAAAATATATCCACTCACAAAAAAGTGATCTCTACTCTCTTAAAATTCACACATGTAGCATCCTAATCACTAAAAAGTGGCCACTTCAAATGTTATGGTAGTAACTGAATTTTATTCAAACACAAACATTTCAAAAGTAGCGATTAAACAAATAATTTAATTTAAAAGTATTTAAAATATTAAATAAAAATAAATGAAATTCATAAAAAATGACTAAACAATTAATACAAATGGTGTGAGCTTCATTCTTTTAGACGAAATAGTTTATTTAGGGCAAACTAGCTAGATTTAACTTTTTTTTGGAAGTGTGACCTAATTTAGCTTTTAAAAATAAATTTATCAAATAAATAGTAAATACCAATTAAGTGGGTTACTACTTACAAATAAGACCTCATTTAATCTCTTAAATCATATTAAAAACAACATAAATTAATAGTGATTTTCAAACAAAGTAGGTCAAAATAGATTGTCAATTACAAACATGTAAGACCCATGTTAATTTTTCTAATTTAATTTTTTTATAATTAAATATTAAATTTCAAATTAAATGATACTTTAGTTGCCCCTTAATATGAGATCATTCTCTAGATAAAAGTATGGTAAGTCTCTTAAATCAAATAATAAGCCTAACCTAAATGTCTAATATAAATAATTTAAAAAATTAAAATAATTCAGATTAATGGTCCCGTTACTTGGTACGGTTGTCATTCCTAATTATACATTACAGGGGGGAATTAAGGTGTGACAAGAGAGCATGTGAGGCCCACTGACCTTACAAATGTAAAGCCTATAGACTGCAGCTATGTATCCAGGTTTGATCTCGCACCTCCATAAATGAAAGGAAACCAAGATTAAAAATAATAAAAAATGGAAATATATATATGGTGGTTCCTATTATTTTAATGTAATTAAAGTTATAAAATCCAAATTAATTAATTCATAAATCACTAGATACCCAGTATAAATCAATAGAATTATTTATGATTAGAAAATTTTAACAGAAAATATGACCACATATCATATACAATTCGGATTTGAAAGAACTAACTAGCATCCAACCAATTAATTAATTAAAATCTATTCTTGGTTAAAATTAATACTTAATATAGGAAATCAAGTGCATAAGGGCATTCTAATTAACAAGGTCTTTTTCTTGATTTTTTATTTTGGACTTCGGAGCATTGTTGGGTTCACGAAAATATAGTCATTTCAACCCAACCTGATTTAATCTTAAATCATTTTAGAGATGACCTGATCTTGTGGTGAGAAAAGAAGATGGGTCAACGGGCTGCCCTACCTTTAAACAACAAGTGGGAGATGCTTAGTTTTGTGTGGCCATGTTGAGGTTTGATGTTATGTTCCCATCATTCAATTTTGGAACAAATTATATATCTCCTAAGCAAAAAAGCTTGGTTCTTTCTTGAGGTGGTATGTATTTGGACATTACTTTTTTTTTTTTCTTTTCTTTTCATTTTGGGAATTGATTCAAAACGCACCTTCTCATATGCAACTCTGGATCCACAATTTTCTCAAAAAAAAGACAATACAAAAACCTAGATCCACATATGAGCTGATGAGATGTAAGTCATTCCTGCATCCCAAATTATCCCATTTCTTCTTTCATGTTTCCTTGTGACAACTTCTCAGCCATCTCTGCATCTCATTAGTTTTTAAAGGGTAGATGATTTGTCATTGACTAACCATAGTTCCTTAGCTGATATCATTCCCATTATAGGTGTTATCTTTTTTATCAATTCTCTTTAAGTCCCTACTTAATGAAGATATCATGTAATAATTAATGAAACCCAATAAGTGGAAGGAATCTAGATAGGGTTGTGATAGGAAGAGGTAATTAACTAATGTTTAGTTTGTGCTTACTCCATTTCCATCCACCTTTTGTAAATTAAAACCCTTTGAGATACGGCAGTCATGGAGGGCTGCAAATTCTACCACGCAATGTTAGTCTCAAGACCCAAAAGTCTTGTTGACCATCTTAGCCACACAAAGAGGGGCCATCGGGTTGATTTAGGTCCTCTATCTGATGAATTTGTCAAGATACAAACCCATAAATAGAGGGGGTCATCGGGTTCTCAAGTGGTATTCAACCTTTTTTCTTTTTTTTTTCTTCCACTGGTCTATCTTAAAAAATAGACTCAAATGAATCCATTAATTGGACGACATGGCCAAACTAGCTAGCTAAATAGCTAGTACAAAGGTGTCCTTGGAAATAGCTATTTCTTACTCATCTAAGAAATAGGTATCACTTACCCAAGTAAGTTATACCCAAGAAAATAAACTT